TTTCTGTGAGAATGTCCTATTTTTTTTTTTTCTCATACCTCTTCTATTCTGTAAATTATTTCTGTTTTTTCTGGGATGACTTTTTTTGGTATCACCTTTTTTTTCAACAAGCTATTATTTTGTTCCCCATTTCATTTTAATAAGAGGTGTGGAGACTAAAGCAATTCCATCTTGGATGTTAATCCACCATGTTAATTTCTCATTAATCCCAGTTCTGGGAAGGCCTCCAAGATTTCCAGCTTATTTATTATTCCTTGTGTAAGAGTAGGTACTTAACCATAAATTTCCAGTCAAAACAACCTTGATGTTACTGTGCTACAATTTTCCTACCTATCCCTTCTGAAGTATGTATACCCTTTCCCTATGGCACGTGACTACTGGTTCTGCGGGTAATGGTGCAGGAAGCTACCCTCTCATCTTATGGCTGCCCAAGATAAGGCTTCTGTTCGTAAGTCACTGTTGAATGTTTCTTTCTGAGAAACTGGATTTGTCAGTCTCTTTCTTCAGCCCCACAAGTTCCTCAGCCTTTGTGGGTAGATTTGCCTACACCTGTCTACCACAGAACAATGCAATAAGAAAGCTGACTAGGGGCTTGGTGTCCATGGATGTTCTTGTTCACTGGTACATTTAAGTTAGGATGAGCAGATGGATGGGGGCTTCCCTATTCCCAGCCTCAAAGCCAAAATATGGATATTTTGTTCAGAGGCACAGAGCCCAATTTAAATGTCCTGTTCTCTCTCAAATTTTTTAAAAAAACTTATTTAGCAAAGAACCCTTTGCTATTTTGCCTGGACGTGAACATCTGGCTCTCTGCCTTTTTTTGTTAAAGGGATGAAATGAAGTTAATTGTCTTATACGCATGTACACATACACAGTTAATCCCCTGATATCATTTTTCACCCTGCCTTCATTAAACCTTCTAACTGAGATTTCAAAGCCTCTCAGGAGTTAGACAATTGAACTCCCATTTTCACTGTAGGCCTCTTTGTACATCCTAGGCTGAGGCTGATATGTTTTGTGTATCAGCTGTATTAGATCTTACAGAAATTGATTGAAATCCCTTGTCCATTGCAGACCTCCTCCTGTTCTGTTTTATTCCTTCACTATTGCTTAAATGGAATCTTTGAAAGGAGGGAAGACAAATTCATCTAAGACCTTTTTCTTAAACTGGAGTTTATTGACTTTAAAACCAGAAAAATAACAAGTAATTTATAAAATACACCCAAGTCTTATGGACTTCTATCAATACATAGTACCCTGGCTTTAGAATACAGATTTTTTTTTTTTTTTTTGAGACGGGGTGTCACTCTATCACCTAGGCTGGAGTGCGGTGGCATGATCTCAGCTCACTGCAACCTCTGCCTCCTGGGCTCAAGTGATCCTCATGCCTTAGTCTCCCAAGTAGCTGAGATTACAGGTGCCTGCCATCACACCTGGCTAATTTTTGTATTTTTAGTAGAGAGGGGGTTTTGCTATGTTGGCCAGGCTGGTCTTGAACTCCTGATCTCAAATGATCTGCCTGCCTCGGCCTCCCAAAGTGTTGTGATTACAGGCATGAGCTACGTGCCCAACCAGAATTCAGATGTTTATTTCTTTTTTTTTTTTTTTTTTTTTTTTTTTGAGACGGAGTCTCGCTCTGCCGCCCAGGCTGGAGTGCAGTGGCCGGATCTCAGCTCACTGCAAGCTCCGCCTCCCGGGTTTACGCCCTTCTCTGGCCTCAGCCTCCCGAGTAGCTGGGACTACAGGCACCCGCCACCACGCCCGGCTAGTTTTTTGTATTTTTAGTAGAGACGGGGTTTCACTGTGTTAGCCAGGATGGTCTCGATCTCCTGACCTCGTGATCCGCCCGTCTCGGCCTCCCAAAGTGCTGGGATTACAGGCTTGAGCCACCGCGCCCGGCCTAGGTGTTTATTTCTTAAAATATGACAATCTTTTCCTCAAATAAGTGTCAAAAACAGGCAATGTCACCTTAATCTCTTACTGGTTTTTCTTTCTCATGGGATGGTACAGAATTAGAGTATGATGGTGTCCTGGGTGAAAATGGTAGAAGGGTTGCTAAGTATAATACAATGAAATAGTTTATTCTCTTTAGCTCAGTGGTTCTCAACTGGGGACTATTTTTCCTCTTGGAGGATATTTGGTACGGTCTGAAGACTTTTTTGGTTGAGAGAACTGAGGATATTCTACTGGCATCAGTGCATAGAGGCCAGGGGTAACTGCAAGCATTCTTTTTTTTTTCTCTTTTGAGACAGGGTCTTGCTCTGTTGCCCAGCCTGGAGTGCAGTGGTACAGTCATACCTCACTGCAGCCTTGACCTCCTGGACTCAAGCAATCCTGCCACCTCAGCCTTCCAAGTAGCTGGGACCACAGGTACGTACAACCATGCCTGGCTAATTGTGAAATTTTTTGTAGAGATGGGGTTTTTCTATGTTGCCCAGGCTGGTCTTTAATATCTGGGCTCACACAATTTGCTCGCCTTAGCCTCCCACTGTGCTGGGATTATAGGCATGAGCCACTGTGCCTGGCCTAATATTCTTAATACATAGGACACAACAAAGAATTATGTAGTCAAAAATGCCAATAGTGCTGAGGTTAAGGACTTTTTCTCTTGTGCAACAGTGTGAATACACTTAACATTACTGAACTGTACACTTAATGGTTGAGATGGTAAATTTTATGTTAAATGTATTTTACCACAATTTAAAAAAATGGGTCCTTATTTGCTAGGAAAAATTTCTGTTTACCAGTTAGTTTTATGCTATTTGATCAGAAAAAGAACATTTTATTTACTTCTCTGCTCTGTTAGAGCTTACTTCATTGTTAAGATTGAAGTATGTGGTAAAATACAGAACGGAGCCCGTATGTGCATATACCCTAGGAAAGACAACTAAGCTACTGTGCCAGGGATTGCAAACCACAGACATGAACTAACTATGGATAACTTAAGCAATAGACAAAATGTATTGGAAGGCAGTGCAGTCAGTTACAAATCTGGAAGAGAAGCCCTACACCTAAGCTATGAGAAGGACAGGGCCCAGGGCAACCTCGGGCAATCTGTCTGGGTGCAGGATTCAATAGGCAGTGTCTCCAGAGCCCCATGGCCAGTTTGAATCCACCTATAATCCCTCCAGTGTTTTTGGGAGACGGTGTCTGATAGGCCAAGCTTGGGTCCTGTACTCTTCTCTCAGCCCAGGCAGCTTGTAGCAACCTATGTGACATCTCATGAAGATTGTACACAAAGGGAAAAGGTAGTTTCTTGTCTCCAAAAGTAGGGTGATGCGCAGGTTAAAACAATAGACATCCACTTTAGCTGCAAGATAGATACTGCCTCCTGCTGTCCAAAATCAAAATACAAAGAGTTAAACAAACAACAAAATGTTTAATCACCACTTTTGCTTACTGTGAACCTTAGGGAAATCATTTAATCTCTGTTTTGTCTTCTACAAAAGGAAGAACTTGAATTTAATGGCATAACTTCCTTTTCATTCCAGCATCGTGTGTGTGTGTGTGTGTGTGTGTGTGTGTGTGTGTGTGTGTGTATATATGTGTGTGTGTGTGTGTGTGTATATATGTGTGTATATATATATTTCCTTATGTTTTAAAAGGGTCTTTGAACTCTTGTTCACATACACTTTATATTTTGCCTGGATTGTGGATTCTCCTCTCATTTGAACTATTCTAGGAATGGCTTCCTAAGGCTGCAGGATAGTTCTGAATTTTGGGATACTGATCTGCTTTTAGGGTATGTGTGGGAGGGATAATTTTTATCGGTAAGAAAGTAAATTTCAATTGTTCATCTCCCTATAGAGAAAGACATGCTTGGGTATTGGGAGTGTGCAGGAGGAGGAAGAAAGAGAAGGCTGAAATGGCAAAGCCCTTGCCAGCTCCGTGTTCTGCTAATTAAGGTTAAACCCTGCACAGAGAGTGCTTCACCCAGAGAAACACAGTGGGTTTCTGTGTGTGGAAAGGGAGGACCTGAGCTGAAGGACATCAGGAAAATGAGTTTCTGGGGAAGTGAGAAGGAGTGGGGTTTAAAGACAAGAGATGTTGGGAGAGAGGTGATAGGAGGCTGCAGCCTGCAGAAGTAGGTGGCCAGTGAGAAATTCCTGATCTGGGATAAGTAAAGGATTTGGGCTGGGTGCGGTGGCTCACACCTGCAATCCTAGCACTGGGAGACTCAGACCAGTGGATCACTGGAGGTCAGGAGTTCAAGACCAGTCTGGCCAATATGGTGAAACCCCATCTCTACTCAAAATACAAAAATTAGGCAGGGATGGTGGCATGTGCCTATAATCCCAGCTACTTGGGAGGCTGAAGCAGGAGAATCGCTTGAACCCAGGAGGTGGAGGTTGCAGTGAGCCGAGATCGCATGCCACTGCAAGCCAACCTGGGCAACAGAATGAGACTCTGCCTCCGCCCCCCCCCCAAAAAAAAGATTTGAAGGATGGGAATAACATCCAATTTTAGTTTTGTTCAATTTTATGAAAATTCCACTATTTATGCAAATCTCCAGCAACATCTACCTTTTCATTGAAGCCTGTAGCACTGGTTTGTAGAAAGTTAAAGAGAATAGGGTGAGACCAATATCTTGGTTGGCATGGGGAAAAGGGAAGGGAACCTGGAGAGTGGCTGCAGTAGGAGAGGTTGCATGAAAATCAGGAGGTGATGGGGAGGTAGGAACTTGGAGCTGGAAGTGACGGTGAGGTGGTAAGTTGTAAGTTGTTGAAAATTCTCAGACATTTGTGGGAAGAATTGGATTTTCCAGAGGACTCAGAGTGAGAGCACGGGCCACAAAGGTAAGGGGAAATTAGTGTAACTTTAGGCACACTAGTGAACGATAAAGAGGTGGAGCTCCTACTTTCCCTCTTGGGTGGAAGGGTGAGGTGCAGCAGAAGACCCCAAAATAGTGTGGTGGGATTCTTTCTTTGTCCTAGTCTTTCTTTTCATTGTATAGTATGTCTTCACTTGCCATAGAAAGAGTGCTCCCAAATATAAATAAATTTACCACGGAATAAACATTTTATTTGTTTGTGTACATAACATTTATTGACATCTACCCACTGCTAGTATAGATGAGTAAGACACAGTCACGCCATAAATGAGTTTATCCTTAAAAGGAGTGAAAGACATTCAAAAACCAACTGCAATAAAAAAGGGTGACATAATTGCTAAGCAGAGTGGAAGAACAGTGCTTAGCAATTCTGATTGTGCAACAATGATATAAAATCCAATGAATGAATGGATGTTCTCCTTGAAGTTTCTATTTCTTTCTTGAATTACTTCTCTTTCCTATTGAGAGAAAAAAAAAGAGAACATTCTGATGTGTAGAAAATGGATAAAAACCATCCTAAGATTATACAGACAAAGGAAATGTCACAGAAAGTATAATCTATTATTCACTCAGCCCAGTTCTGTGTGCCTGGGACAAGGATTCTGAAGAACAACCTCCAGAGGCTAAGAAGGCAGGATTGACTGGAGTGTGGGCCCAGGGCTCAGGTACCTTTGTATCTTGTCTCTACCAGTTTACTAGCTGTGTGACCTTAGGTAGTTTACTACTTAACCTCTCTTAGCATCGGATTACAAATCTGTAAAATGTGGATAATAATGTCTCATTGAATTCTTGAATTAAATGAGTCAATCCATGTGAAGTCTTGGAATACTGCAAGTACTCAATGCATGTTAGCTATTATTTATTTATTTTTTGAGATGGAGTCTCACTCTGTTGCCCAGGCTGGAGTGCAGTGGTGTGATCTTGACTCACTGCAACCTCTGCCTCCTGGGTTCCAGCAATTCTCATGCCTCAGCCTTCCGAGTTGCTGGGACTACAGAAACACACCTTCATGCCTGGCTAATTTTTGTATTTTTAGTAGAGATGGGGTTTTGCCATGTTGCCCAGGTCTCAAACTCGTGGCCTCAAGTGATCCCCACCCGCCTCAGCCTCCCGAAGTGCTGGGTAAAGGCATGAGCCACCGTGCCCAGTCAGCTATTATTTTTATCATTCTGAGTATAGCATTAGGAATCTTGTATCTTAATCACTTTCTTTGGAATCTATGTTTTCTGCTCATATTCTGTTTTAGATTAACTCCCTACATTTACAGCCTACATAATTAAATTCTATTTCCATTTGTCCAGAAGTTACTTCTTTCCACCTCTGACCAGGGGTGCCCTTTTGTCTAATACTTAAGGTTTTAATGCACTAGTCTCTTTTCTTCCTATTAAATTTAATCAGTATGCCTCGGATCTTCTTTATTCTCTTTGTATTTTTCTTAGGGTTCTAAAATATTTACAGACTGCTGTAGAATATTCCATGAGTTTCACAGTTTTCTGTAAGGGGAGGGTAGTATTTTCAGTTTTCTTGGTGATAGCTTTACCAACAATAGTCAGCATTTTGTGAATCGTTTGGACAGCAGTGGTTCGTTAAGTCAGATCTTTTGGGAATAGTTACATAGCATTTTCCAAAGTGCGTTCTCTGAAGTACTATTTTATGGGACTCATTAAGACCCGTAAAAAGGATTATAATTTAGGAAACACTCGGTTAAACGTTTGTTCAATAGTCTATACTCTCCAATATTCTATGTACCTGAAATATAGTAGGTAGTGTTTCTTGAACTTATTTCTCCATAGTCGCCTTATCTGGAAATCACCCTGTAGGACTAGTGTTCTGAGAATACATTTTGGTACATGCTAATTTATAGTAAATGCTAGGTTGAACTGATATCTTAAATCCAGTGTCTTACTGGAATATTTCTCCCTTGAGGACAATCCTCTATTATGTGGAAGCACTTTCATTGCTCATGTGATCATTTGAAGAGTCTTATATGATCTTTTTGCAGTGTATTCTCTTCATCCTGATCTTTTTTACTGGCTAGGTTTAGTTATATCTGCTGATTTAAATATGCCATTCTGTGTTCTTTTATCCTTACTAGGATAAAAAGCTTACTGGGCAGTGATAGGCAGGGATATGTAGTAGAAAGAGTATGAAGTCACATAGCCCTTATTTGGAATCAAGGCTCAAGCACTTGGCAGTCACATGACCTTGGACAGTCCACTTAGCCTCTGTGAACCTTACTTTCGTTACCTTTATCCAGAGACAGAGGTTTTTATTCTTGTCCTTTGATTTCTTTCTCAAATTCTACTTTTGGCTGACTCAATTCAGTAAATCCAAATCAGTTTTCTTAAAAAAACTGAATTTGGAACTTGATTAAACCAAAAAAGCATAGATTGGGACATGGGATATACATAAGTATCAAGACCAGGAATGATAAGCAGTTTCTGTCCGTGGTTAACCACTTTCTCTGCATGTATATGCAAACAGGAATAGTAGGGTCACTTTTAATTATTTAGAGTTGAATCTTTAGGAGTGGGCAGCTATGAAGAAAGGTGTTTTGTCCCTTCAATCCACCCCTACAGGGGACACTCTCCTAAATAAACTATTTAAACTGAGAGAGGAAGAGCAGTGGGTGGCAGCTTGAAGAAAATCTTGACAATATCATTTGCATAATTTTACCATATTGTACTATGTTACTGAAACTCACAATCAACATCTGCAAGGTATAACACAGCCTAGTTATATTTTAAGTATCTAAGGTCCCCAGTTCCTCCCCTTGATAGGCTTTTTGATATAAGTTCCAGTGTGGTTTTCCAGGTAAATACCCACTTCCTCGCCTTTCTTTTCCTACCCCACTCTAAAAAGAAAATGTGAAATCCTCTTATTTGAAATAATAAATATTACCATATAGTTTCTGAATGCCTTTAATATCATCCTGGGAAAGTTTAAAATTTTGGGGATCTCCGTTTCCATAGGTTGGATACATCACTGCATTGGGATCAGAAGAATGTCCCATACCCAAAGAATGGCCAAGTTCATGCGTTGCAGCATACAGGAAGTTAATTCCTACAACCGAAGAAGTGAGAAACTTATGATAAAAATAGCTGCATATATTATTGTAACATTACATATAATATATGATATCATAATTTAAATAACTAAAGAAAAATACCCAATTTTTAGCCCTCGGTAGCTTACTTATTTGTTTCTAGGCTTTCAAAAGTGGAGAGAGGTTAGAAGGATAATCAGAATAGGAGTACTTTAATCTCATCACTACTTCTGCTTCTTAAAAATGTGTAATGTTGGCCGGGCGCGGTGGCTCAAGCCTGTAATCCCAGCACTTTGGGAGGCCGAGACGGGCGGATCACGAGGTCAGGAGATCGAGACCATCCTGGCTAACCCGGTGAAACCCCGTCTCTAGTAAAAAAATACAAAAAAATAGCCGGGCGAGGTGGCGAGCGTCTGTAGTCCCAGCTACTTGGGAGGCTGAGGCAGGAGAATGGCGTAAACCCGGGAGGCGGAGCTTGCAGTGAGCCAAGATCCAGCCACTGCACTCCAGGCTGGGCGACAGAGCGAGACTCCGTCTCAAAAAAAAAAAAAAAAAAAAAAAAAAAAAATGTGTAATGTTTTTTATTTGCTTCTTTCATTCAGGCAGCAATACTCTGCAGTGGAAAGCAAAGGCTTTAAAACCACTAAGACCTAGGTTTGAAATGTAGCTCCACTGCTTACTAGCTGGACAACTCTGGACAGATTAATTGATGTTGCCGAGTCTCCGTTTCTCACCTGTTAAACAGAGACAGTAATTCCTGCCCTATAGATTTGTCATGATAACTAGAGTTTCACAATATTTGGGAAGTCACAGCCATTCAATAAATGTTAGTGACTTTGGATATCAGAGGAGAGAAAGTTGGCTTTGAGAAAGTGAAGATTGAAAGGCAGGATCTCCAGGCAATGCTGAGTTTTGTCTTTCATTTTGATTCATTAACTTATATTACATATATCCTTTGCTCTCCTTCAGACTCATTGAAAGGCTTTGCAAGTACGTGGAAGATGTGAGCCTGTGAGTTTGAGGAGTGGCCAGAGCTCTGGTGATGTAGCATTGAATTGAAGGAAACTGCCTTTAACCTACCTTAAGTGGGAAGAAAAAAGAATGAAAAGAATATGCTAGATGTGAATGGGAGGCAGCATCACAATTTTACATAGATTTTCAAAGCAAGGCAGCAAGCTATGGTGAATTCCCTTTGCCAAACACAAATACAAATTTCCCTTTTAGGGCCAGTTGGTAGCCTTTTTTTTTTTTGTATTTTTTGTTTTTAAATTGTCTCTAGTTGGGATTTTTATGCCAGAGTCTTCTCCATTACTTCTCTGATGTGCCTATAATATCCTACCATGTAAAATGATAAATATGATAGACTAAGTCATGGATTCGTTCTTTTTGGAAAATAGTGAATAATTCCAGAATTGTGTATACTTCTTAAATATCGTAGTTTCTACTTCTCTTTCTTTTCCATTTGGAGCATGTATTTTTTGGAAATATGAAGAAAGAGCTATAATTTATTGAATTATTAATATATTCCAGGCACTATATAGGCATTATCCCATTTAATTTAAAGAATCCTTGATGTGGGAACTATTTATATTCCCATTCCACAGAGGAGGAGACTGAGGCTCAGAGAAATTCAATAACTTGCCCAATGACACAGAGTAATTGGTAGATGTACAGCAAATTGGACCAGTGCTGCTTGACTCCATAGCCTGAGTGTCCATCTTCTGTATGTGTAGCATTATAAGTATATTACATGAAATAATGCATTTCAGGCATATAGTACAGTGTTTGGCACTTAGCAAGGGCTCAATACTTATAAATTAAAATAATTATTTAACTTAGTGTAAGTCCAGGATTTTAAAAAGGATGTGGAGTAGAAGAGACATGAGATGCTATACCTAGACTGCTACCATCCGTCCAGCGTTCATCCTCATCGAAGTGAGCATCTCCTCCAAGACCTGGCCCAGGTGCAAAGGCATGAGCCAGCGTGTTTCCTGGCCCATCAAATGGGTATGGGTCCCCATGAGCTGAAAGAAAACGGAGTGATTGTTCTTAGTGACTGATTTTTTTTCTCCAATAATTTTATTTTTCAGTTTATATGATTATTGAGGCTAGAAAAAGCAGCCCAGTCCAGGCCAGGCACGGTGGCCCACGCCTGTAATCCCAGCACTTTGGGAGGCTGAGCTGGGTGGATCACCTGAGGTCAGGAGTTTGAGACCAGTCTGGCCAGCATGGTGAAACTCCATCTCTAATAAAAATACAAAAATTAACTGGGCGTGGTGGCACATGCCTGTAATCCTAGCTACTTGGAAGGCTGAGGCTGGAGAATTGCTTGAACTCAGGAGGTGGAAGTTGCAGTGAGCCGAGATCATGCCACTGCACTCCAGCCTGGGTTACAAGAGTGAAACTCCATCTCAAAAAATAAATTAAAAAAAAAAAAAAAAGCAGCCCAGTCCAAGTAGCTGGCATTGTTACACGCTGTCAGTTGCATTCACAGGGTAGTTGGGGTGCTTTCTTGGCCCAGACACTTTTTCCTTTCACAGAATCATTGCTCATCACTGATAATCACCATATATTGAAAGCTTACTGGATATAGGACTTAAAATGCAGTTATATCTAACTTAGGGTTGCATTTAAGCTTTTGTTAAATTTGACCACTTTGCTCTGTCAAAGGGTGGTGGGAGGGAGAATGAATATGAATACTGCATTTGGCAGGTAATTTGTACACCATTTCATATGTTTTTTTTTTCTTAAAAACCTAGCTTATTCTTTGTGGGCATAGTAAATAGTCTCTTAGAGAGCCATGCTCAAGATCTCTTAAAATGGCTTTTGATAGTCCTTTAATTTGTGATGCGGAGCTGGTTATCTTCAAGGTGATATGAGGCCGGTCCAGTTTATCTAGCTCTTAAAAAACTTGTAGTGCTATGATTAGTGCTTTCCCATAGCATTTTCTTCAGTGTTTTCAATATTGTGGGTTGAAGTTCAAATTTCAGCTACAGTAGCCGGACAGTTCCACATAGAACAGACCTAAATGGGCAACATTTTTCTCTAAAGTTGCACCATGAAACACTAGCAATTAAGAACAGTTTATGTATATGTGTTATATATATATATATACACACACACACACACATATATATATAACCCATATACTAAAAAAAGGGTTTATATAAAAATATATATATATTTGCATATATGTATATATTTTTATATATACATATATATTTGTATATATACTATATATGTATTATATATACACAATATATATGTATTTTATATATATATATATATATTTTTGAGACATAGTCTTGCTCTGTTGCCCAGGCTGGAATACAGTGGTGTGATCTTGGCTCACTGCAACCTCTGTCTTCTGGGTTCAAGCGATTCTCATGCTTCAGCCTCCCAAATAGCTGGAATTACAGGCATGCGCCACCATGCTCAGCTAATTTTTGTTTTAGTAGAGATGAGGTTTCACCATATTGGCCAGGCTGGTCTTAAACTCCTGACCACAGATGATCCACCTGCCTCGGTCTCCCGAAGTGTTGAGATTACAGGCATGAGCCACCACGCCCTGGTGGGTTATATATTTTTAAGTTCTTTAATATGAAAGTTTCCATTTCCTACTTCCTTGCCACATGAAAGGCATTAGCAACAGGTTATATACCACTTCTCAGGGGCCTCTTGAGGCCTTTGGAAGCTACAGCTCTTTCTGTTGATTTAATATTGATGTTAGCTCGATACATTGTAAACATATAGTCATGTGCTACATAATGATCTTTCAGTCAACAGACCACATATACAATGGTCCTGTAAGACTATAATGGAGCTGAAAAATTCCTATAGCCTAGTGATATAGTAGCTGTGATAATGTCATAGCTCAGTGCATTACCTTTTCAATGTTTGAATATGTTTAGACACACAAATACTTGCCATTGTGTTATAGTTGCCTACCGTATTCAGTATAGTAACATGCTGTATAGATTTACAGCCAAGGAGCAATAGGCTATACTATATAGCCTAGTTGGATAGTAGGCTGTATCACCTGGGTTTGTGTAAGTGTAGTCTATGATGTTAGCACAATGACAAGATTGCCAAAGGTCTCATTTCTCAGAATGTATTCCTATTGTTAAGCAGTTCTTGACTGTACATACAAATAATAATTCACATTACAAAACAGAGATTGGCAAACTTTTTCTGTAAAGGATCAGATAACAAGTGTTTAAGCTTTGTCATCTCTGTCACAGTTACAGCCTGACCCCAAACAGTCATAGATAATAGGGAAATGAAGGATCCTGACTGTGTTCCAGTAAAACTTTGTTTACAAAAACAGAAGGTGGGCTGGATTTGGCTCAGTGGGTCCTAGTTTGCCGACTGCTCCTATAAAGACTGGCTCTATATTACCAGATTATAAACATTATAACAATATTACTAAATCTATCTATCTATCTATCTATCTATCTATCTATCTATCTATCTATCTACCAATCAAATCTCATTAAAGGATTTTAATCCTCATAAGAAAAGAGCACTGATATAAACCATGAACAAACAAAACAGGACACAGGATTAGCCTACAGGAATCTTTCTTACCTCCTCGTGCAAAGCCAATCATGATGTCAGCAGTTCCCCATACAACTTTCCTGAAATGCAGGGGGATCTCTTTGCCCCACATGTTTAAAGCCTTTGACACTAATCGATCCACTGTAAAATGCGGTAAGTCTCGAGTATATGATACAATCCTAGTAGCAAACAAGAAAACAATGTTTGACCTCTTAGGAAACAGGCTTCATTGTTTTTGCCAAAATGAGCCAGAGCAAAACTAACCTGTAGGTAACTACTTTGGAAGTCCATTTTGGGCTATTTGGAAATAGTGAGTATTCTGCAACATCTGGCACTCCACATCTGGGCTTCTGCATTATTTCTATGATGCGGGAGTTTAACATTCCAGTTATAGGCAGGCCAAAGAATTTTTCCATCTCCTTGAGTTTGGCTTCTAAACTGTTGGCATTTTTTGTTTCTGAGTCATAGAGATAAAATCTCTTGAGATAGTCCTATTGAAAAGAGAGTAATTAATCTATAGTTCTTTTTTATTATCTTCTTTTATCTTAGAAGCTTATACATCTCTTGCCTTTGGTTCTTGTGGATTCAAATAATGATTTGAAGACAGAATAATTACATAGTCACTGAGTAAAATAAGTGTGCATTAGTGAGGAGAAAATTTAATATTGCTAATGAAGCACTGGCATGCCATTTCATGAGCAAAAGAAAAGAATCCCTCAGTTTTTAAAAAATCCCTTTAAATGTTTGGGTCAGAAATACACTATACACTTTATAAAGCCTGGATGTGTGTAAGAGCAATCAGGAAGCATGTACCAGTCTGTCCTCAGGGGTACAACTGGGACCTTCTCTCTGTGTTATCATAGACCCTGTGGGGGAGAGCTGAGGTCAACCAGCCCTCTCTAAGGTCCAGCTGAGATGTAGTTCCAGCCAAAAGTTAAAGGGTCTTAAAATTTTAGCTCTGGGAAAAGATATTAGCAAATTATTAAGTAGTTCAATTTAATAATCCAGCGAAGGAACCAAAGCTTATAACAACTAAATGATTTATGTGCCCAGGTTCACACCTTAAATTAGTAGCAGAACTGGACTTGACTTTCCTGACTCCTAGGCCCTCTTTTCCCTCTTTCTGCTCAAACCATTCCCAGCCCCTCTTTCTGCTGGTAAATCTCTAGTCAAACCTACTTTGGGAGATTGTAGTATACAGTAGGTCTCCCAGGTTTATTCCACACAAAGTTGGGTTCCTGGGAATTTCTCTAAAGGTTCTCAGTATCTGGATATGAGAATAGGAATCCAGCAGCACAAATACAACAACAGAAGTGAACGAACTAACAATAGCAACCTCACAGGAACATTTTTAAGCACTTACTAGTGCCAGGCACTCACATATTTATTTTATGTAAACCTCATAACCACCCTATGAAACAAGTATGGCATTGTTATCCCTATTTTATATATGAAGAAACACAGCTCAGAGAAGTTAAATAAATTGCATAAGATCACCTCGTGAGTAACTGAAGGAGCCAGTATTTGAACTTAAGTGTTTTGACTTCTATGCATTAGAAACATGTGTAGGGTTATATGATGCCTGATAGTACTGTTGTTAAAACGATTTAAACATTGACTTACTAATTTGCAGTTTATTTTGAGTAGATGGTAATGGTTACCTGTCTTAGGACAGCTCAGGAATATGCAATTTATGTAAGAAATCTTATTAATATTGTAACTTTTTTCCTGTTGCCAACAGTTGTCTCATTAAGTACAACAAATACTTATGTTCATCCATGACAATTGATAACTGATCCTTTACTTAAAAACAAATAACCCATTTAATCCCTTCTAGAGCTACAGACTTTACCAAGACACCCTCTGGATGTGAGATTTGGTAAATCTTTGTTGAGATGACTTTTCCTATTTTTTGTTAAACCTAGCTAACATCCCTCCGAGTAAAGAAACTCTGAGTTTCTGCTAACCTGCACTCTAAGTAAAGAAACTAAATGCAAAGTACTCTTTCTGGAGAATTCATTAGGTGGAACCATATAAAATTGCTGTTTTGGAGATTTTAAAAGTTAAATACTAGTAACTTCATGTGGTTCAATCTAACTTGTTATAACTAGAACTTTTTAAAAGTCTAAGTTAATGCAAATTAAAAATTGACTTTTCTTATGCTTAAAGCTAAATTTACAAATAATGCTTATGAGTAATCATCCCATTAGTTGACCAAATAATAATTAGTAGACTGCTTGTATTTATTAGATGCTTATTAAGAAGCATATTAGAAAGAACATGATTTTTGAACCAGAAGCACTTGTCCTTGATTTCTGTCTCTACCACTAATAAGTATACGAATCAATTTAACCTTGGTTTCCTCTTTTTATAGAACTAAGGATTAAATGTCACAACGTATATGTAGTACTTTATAATCTACAATTGTTACATACATGCTAGTCGGTTTTGTTATCACCTCATTTACTTACTAGAATACCCCGTGTGGTATAAAACACATAGTATTTTTTTTCTGCTGGACACAGGAGAAAACAAAGTCAAAAGTTAATGCCTTGTCTATCGTCATTGATTTGTTGGAGAGTTGTAACTTCTACCCATGTTTTCTGACTTCAAATATCTCCATTACAAACAGTTTTGTAAATATACAAACAGTATATTTACAAGTTGTATCTTAAGAGGCAATATTCTGTATGCTATAGAAAAAGAATCTCAAGTTATAGTAAATAAAAATAAGAACTTAATTTAAACAATGTTTCAGGTATTGTGTTAAATGCTTTACAATACCCTCATTTGGTTGACACCATGCTTATCTCCAACTTCCAAATTGGAAACCTGAAGCTTGCAGAAGTTTAATGACCTTCCTGAGTCTATCTACATAGTGAGTGGAGGGTTGGAACTCAAGCCCGATTAGAGCAGACTCTGAAACCTGCTTTTAATGGCTACTTGATGAAAACATATATTGCTTTTATAATCAGAAAAACTACCCCAAAGAAAATTCCACTGCAATGCTAACATGGGAAGGGAAATAATTGAAAAACACATTTCTTAATGTAGATGGCAAAAGAATGGAACCCCAAGTAAGTGGGCTGTGACATACCTGAGCCTGTTTCCACTGGAGCTCACTCATGCCTCCCGCCTCCCGAGGCAGCGGCAGGGCCAGGCTGCCAGGCAGCAGGCACACAGCACATAGCACGGTGAGTCGCATAGCTGCCATACAGAGACAATTGTTCTTGGACCTATGGTTGATTTGGTGTTTTCTGCTAGTGACTGCAGAAATTTATATAGCTTCTGAGCCTCGAATGTGGAAATAGGTGACTCATTTGAGTGTTTTCTTTCTTTTTAGAGTCTACAGAACTTTGAAAGTATGTGTTATTTTTCATTAACTAAAACGAGGAAGTATTACATCCTTATTGGCAGGAAGCACACAATGTATTTGTCTTTCAAAGGATTTTTTTTCTGTCTGCCGCAAAAATTGAATCCATGAGAAACCTCATTTGTTTGCCAAAGTCAAATGACTGCTCACATAGGTCTTTTCAATTTAAAAATGTAGGGAAGCATCATTCAGGACATGATTGTACCATATATTTTTAAAGGATTTTTTTAAAATTGAAAGGTATGAAAAAGTGCACAAAACATATAAATAATGAAATATAATTAAGCAAAGACTGTAACAGTCACCAAAGTCAAGAAATAGAACATCACCAACATCCTGTCGTTCTCTATACAGGGGAAAGATGGCAGGAGGCAGATGGAGATGCTGCTGTGCGGGTGGATTAATGGCGACCATAGAACTGTGTTGTGTCCCCTCACCTTCCGGGTCCCTTGGCAGAGCAGTGATAATTCCCTTCTTTGGGTCTCCTTTTAATCAGTTTATGTCTTTTCTTAGTAGTGAACACTGCCTCTAATTCTTCTTGAAATAAACATGAAAAAATACCAAGCCAACAAAAATCTACAAGCATGGGCTTAACTGTTCATCTGGCTTACTTATTCTGCTTCTCATTTTATAGTCACAGATTCTTCCAAAGCTAGACCTTCAACTTGGAAATCATTGTATCCAATTTTTTTCTTCCAATCACTCTGACTCTGGCTGCTACCCAGCTACAGGTAGGGATGCATTGGTCCTTAGTACACAAAATGGTTATTCTACGTATAGCAGTAAGAATCCATTACCTACAGATTCTAGCCCAATGACTCTATTCTTACCAAAGATGAAACTGAGGCCAAGATGACAATTTAACTTACTATACTTCTCTCAGCTCACACAGATAGTAGCTTAGTGCTTTTTCTATCCCACTGCACTGCCTATTCATGTTGTAATAGGTCTGTCTCCTTTATTATATTATACATTACTTGGGAGAGCACCATGGCTTTTGACTCTAATACATCATGGGAAACACTCCAAATATACTGGAGCTAAAAAATTTAATTAATCACATGTCACTTAAATTACACGGTAGTTGAGCACCGTGAGCCAGCAAAGGTAAAATTTTCAGATCAGTTAATTAAATTTGCTCTCTTTACAGAGACATCTTGATTCTGTATGGTCACAGTTTAACTAGAGCAATTGGTATCCTTAGTCAGAGTTTGACATATGATAAGGTGCATCATAAATATTTGTAGAATAATGAATATTTATGAACTCGAATCAGCTAAAAATGAAATTATATCAGGTTTTTGGTAATATTTGCATTGAATTAAAATCAAAAGGCATTTCCTCAAGCGAGTGAGCACATAAGCCACAGATTGGATGAAAATAAATGCAAAGACACATCCGTGGCCAGGTGCAGTGGCTCATGCCTGTAATTCTAGCACTTTGGAAAGCTGAGGCCAGTGGACTGCCTGAGCTCAGAAGTTTGAGATAGCCTGGGAAACATGGCAAAACCCTGTTTCTAATAAAAATACAAAAATTAGCCAAGCATGATGATGCGTGCCTGTAGTCCTAGCTACTCAGGAGGCTGAGGCACGAGAACTGCTTGAACCTCAGAGGCAGAGATTGCAGTGAGCTGAGATCACTCCACTGCACTCCAGCCCGGGTGACAGAGTGACACTCTCAAAAAAAAAAAAAAAAAAAAAAAAAAAAAAAAAAAAGACATATCCAATACAGGACTGTTATCCAAAATGTACAAGTAACTTTTAAAACTCAACAATAAGAACACAAACAATCTGATTTTAAAAATGGGCCTAAAACCTTAACAGACATCTTACCAGAAAAGATATACAGATAGTGAATAAGCATATGAAAAGATTCTTCACATCATATGTTATAGGGGAAATGCAAATCAAAACAGTAATGAGATACCACTACACACCTATTAGAAAGGTCAAAATCCAGAACACTGACGGTGGCAAATGCAGGATGTTTTAGTGGAAATGAAAAATGGTATAGCCACCTTGGAAGACAGTTTGATGGTTTCTTTCAGAATGAAACATACTCTTACCATATGATGCAGCAATGGTGCTCCTTGGTATTTATCTTAAGGAGATAAAAATTTATGTTTACACAAAAACATACATATGGATGTTTATAGCAGCTTTATCCATAATTGCCCAAACTTGGAAGCAATCAAGATGTCGCTCAGTAGGTGAATGAATACATGTACTGCGGGACATCCAGGCAATGGAATATTATTCAGTGCTAAAAAGAAATGAGCTGTGAAACCATGAATAGACGTGAAAGAATCTTAAATGCATATTATTAACTGAAAGAAGCAATCTGCAGGGCTACTTAGTGTATGATTCCAACTATATAACATTCTGGAAAAGGCAAAAATAGGTAAAAATATCAGTAGTTGTGTGGGCTGGACGTGGGATTGGGGGATGAATGGGCAAAGCACAGAGAATTTCTGGGGGAGTGCATTTACTCTGTGTAATACTATAATGGTGGATTCATGTCATTTTACATTTGTCCAAACACACAGAATGTACAACACCAACAGTGACCACAAATGCAATGAACTTTGGGTGATTATGATGTGTCGGTGTAGGTTCTTCAATTGTAACAAATGTAGGCCGGGCATGGTGGCCCACGCCTGTAATCCCAGCACTTTGGGAGGCCGAGGCAGGCAGATCACCTGAGGTCAGGAGTTTGAGGCCAGCCTGGCCAACATAGTGAAACCCTGTCTCTACTAAAAGTACAAAAATTAGCCAGGTGTCGTGGCGGGCACCTGTAATGCCAGCTGCTCAGGAGGCTGAGGCAGGAGAATCACCTGAATCCAGGAGGTGGAGGTTGCAGTGAGCCGAGATCATGACACTGCACTCCAGTCTGGGCAACAGAGGGAGACTCTGTCTCAAACAAAACAAAACAAAACAAAACAAAACAAAAAACAAAACAAAAAACAAAACACACACACAGAAACAAATGAACCCCTCTGGTGGGAGATGTTGATAATGGGGGAGGCTATGCATGTGTGGGGGCAGGAGGTATACGGGACATCTCCGTACTTTCCTTTCAATTTTGCTGTGAACTTAAAACTGCTTTAAAAAAATAAAGTCTTAAAAAAGGTATTTTCTAGATTTTGTATTTTACATTTCTGTTTACTTTTAGCAATTCAAAGAGCATTAGAAATTACAAACACTTTAAATGAATTTTAGTAACTCCCTTTAATATTCACTCTTGAATAAGGAGGAAAAAAATCTCTTGTTCATCTAAATTGTAATTAGTGAAAAAAGACCCAGTGGAATCAAGTCCCACTTCCAGCCTTTAGAAGCTCGTGCTCTAGGGTGGCAATATCGGGAGGTAAATACTCTTAAAACCAAGTGACACTTGCTTATAGTGTGCCAAGTTGCCAAAGAGAAGGGAACAGTTAATCCTTCTTGTGGGAATTGAGGAGAATCCATACAAGAGGTAGCATTTTAGCTGGATTTTAGAGGGTAACTAGGAGTTCCCTTGGAAAAGGGCATTCCAGGAAGAAGACATGGGAAGAGCATGGATACAGTAGAGTGAGCAGTAACGTGGCTGTGGCCAGGGGTGGTGAGTGGCTGGAAAAGCAGGTCGGGGTCAAGTTGTTGAGAGCGAGCCTCGTGTGCCAGGGAGTTTGGACTTTATTCCAAGGGCATCAAGGAATGTTTTAAAGGAAGAAAGCAGCATAATAAGCTTTGTAATGCTGTAAGAAAATGATACTGGTGATTGTAAAGACAGATTGTGGAAGATGAGATGATGCTCTGTAGAGGGATATTGGAGAGGCAGATAGACCAAGCAAAAAGTTATTACAATAATCCAGCTGAGAGAGGGGGAAGATGAGTCCCTAAACTAAGATTGTGACCATAGTGATGAGAAAGAGGAAGGAAATCCAAGACGTACATAGAAGGTAGGATTGATAAAAACAAAACAAAACCAAAACTTGGGAGATGATTGGTTGCAGGAATGAGAAGAAAATCAAGGATGATCTGGGCCTAATAGACTTGGTGAGTGGTCGTGCTGTTAATATGGAAACATATGGAAACATGGCTTACAGGAAAATAATCTAGGAGTTGATTTTGTGAGGGAAACAGACGTGGTTGTGGGAAAGCACAGACATCATGGACATCCTGGACATTGGGTTCAAGGCTTCAGCTGGAAATCAGGTCTGGAGCTAATGAGAGTGATCTAGTCCATAGGTTATGAGTGACTTATTTTTAAGGAAGGAAACTATGTTTTCTTAACCAGTAAAATATACATCATATAAAATTTACCACTTTAACCATTTTTAAGTGTACAATTCTGTGTCATTAAGTACATTTACAACGTTGTATGACCAGTATCCATTTTGAGAGCTATTTTGCCATTCCAAAGAGAAACTCTGTATCCATTAACGAATAGCTCTCTTCTCCCCTCTCCCTCCAGACTCTAGTAATCTCTACTCTGCGCTCTGACTCTAGCAATCTGACTATTCCAGGTACATCCAGTGGAATAGCCATACAATCCATTCCAGTGGCTATACCACTGTAGAATACAATGTACTAAACATTCCCACCAGCAATGTACTAGGATTTCAATTTCTCTGTATACTCTGTATTCAAAATAACATTTTTTATTTTTTATTTTATTTTTAACTCTTAAAATTATCACGGCCATCTAAGTAGGTGTGAAGTGGTATCTCATGGTTGTTTTCATTTGTATTTCCCTAGCGACTAATGGATAAGGCTGCGCATCTTTTCACATGGTGGTTGTCCATTTGTATATCTTTGGAGAAAGGTCTATTCAAGTCATTTCTTATAGTTTTAACTGGGTTATTTGTCTTTTTTGTTAAGTTGTTAGGAGTTCCTTATATATTCTGGATATCAAACCTTTATCAGATATGTGATTTGCAAACATTTTGCAAATTTCTGTGGGTTGTCTTT